GGCCTCCCACAAAGTGCTGGGGTTACAGGCATGAGCCACCATGCCTGGCTTTTGTTTTTCATTTCTAATTGTATTGCATTGTGGTAAGAGAAGATGGTCTGTGTTGTATTATTTTTGGTTGGGGAGATGTATTAAGATTTCCTTTGCAGCTTAGCTTATGGTCAATTTTTGTGAATGTGTATACTCTGCTTAGAATGTAGTTCTGAGTATTTCTATTAGGTCAAGCTATTGTGTTGATCTTTATTTTTTATTTACTCAAATTTACTGATCTTTATTTACTCAAATAGTCTTGATCTTTATTTTTTAAAGTGCTTAATATTTTAGTTTCCAAGAGAGATATGTTAAAGTGTAACGCTGTGATTTTTTTGGGTTAATTTCTCCTTTTTTTTTTGAGACTGGGTGTCACTCTGTGCCTAGGCTGGAGTGCAGTGGTGCGATCTTAGCCTCAACCTCTCTGGGCTCATGTGATCCTCCTGCCTGTCCTCACTGTAGCTGGGACTACAGGCTCACATCACCACACCTGGCTACTTTTTGTATTTTTTTTTTTTGGTAGAGATGGGGTTTCACCGTGTTGTCCAGGCTGGTCTCGGACTCCTGGGCTCAAGCAATCCTCCCCGTAATCACAAAGTGCTGGGATCACAGTTGCGAGCCACTGTGCCTAGCCTCTCCTTATTCTTTAACAGCTTTTGCTTTACATATTCTGAATGTATGTCATTAGATGAAAACATGCTCACGAGTATTTTATCTTCTTGTGGTAGTGTTTCTTTTACCTCTTAGAAATATTTCCTCTTAGTTTCTTTTCACCTTGACTTCAACTTTGATACTAATATTCCTATACCCACTTTGTGTTAGTATTTTCCAGATATAGTAAGTTGACCAAAAAGATGACACAATAACTCCTTCCCTTCCTGAATCCATACCCCTTGCCATGTGACTTTGCCACTGTTCTAATAAGATGTGAATTCCACTTCCTCATATGTTGAATCATGGTTGGCACTGTGACTTGTGAATACAGAAGGCAGCAGAACTAATGCTATGGGACATCTGAGTCTAGTCCTCACCAGGTCTCCCAGCTGCTGATCTCATCACCTGGAACGCTGCTCCCACCATGTGCAGAAGCCTAAGTTAGTGTCCTGGAGGATGAGAGACCATGTGGAGGGCAAGGTTGACCGACAGCCTGCACCAGCCGTGTAAGACCATCTGAGATGACTGTAGCTGCATGAGTGACCCCAGGGGAGACATGCAGAGACGTGTCCAGCTGTCTTACTTGTTACTTTAAGCCATTCAGTTTTTTCTAAGATAAAAAAGTTATTTTATCTAGGCAGAAATAGTATGTAAATAATTATACAAGTAGTACGTGGATTTGACCAAAACCTTGAAGCTGATGTGCAGTGAGCTAAAATTTGGAAAATGCTTAATGAGAGAATGGCCTAAAGAGCTATTCAGTACTCTGAATTCCCCAAAGGCAAGGACCAATATTTACCCACCTCTGATATCTCCCCTGGAACCTTACACAGTACCTGGAACACAGTGGACTCTCTACAAATACCAAATTGGGAATTAACTCTTACTATAAATACTGGGCATCAGCCCTGGTTCTTCCGGGCTCCAGAACTAACATATGAGTAGATTTCTCCAGGTAGATAGGAGTGAAGTAAACCCCAAAGAATCAGGAACTAGAGCTAAGTAAAGAATAAACCCTGAGAAACTTTGAGTAAAAAAGGATACTATTTGCACATTGCATACTGGAAAACAAGTAGAAAGTCCAAAAACAAAATAAAAACTTACAGCAAGAAGAAAAAAACAAAGCCCCACAAACTCTACAGCTTAAGTTAGCCTAACCACAGCTGAGATACTGCTTCTCAAAGAACTAAATGACAAGTTGAGAGACAGGCCCCGTTGTCAGGTCAGCTGTTCTTGAGAAGAAACTAAATTCAAAACTAGACAAAACTCTCTCACTACTAAAAACGTATATAGACAGGGAAGCATTTTTTCAAGTTATACTAATAAGTTGACTTGGATGCTTTAATAGCTTTCATGAAGAATTCTGAAAATCGTGTAGCATATTTGAGGAACTCCACAACTACTTAGAATAAAAAGAAAAGCAACTTTTTAAAATTTAGCAGTATCTCAAAAATGAAAAACCTAGTTACATGTTCTCATAAAGAAGTTTCACTATTAATATAAAATGCTCCAAAAGTTTAGTTCATAAGACATATTCAAAATATATACCCAATAATCTAAGTGTAGACACTAGAGCAGCAATATAATTTTGGTTCTCCAAAGATTACCAAGCATGAAGTAGCAATCTCCTTGGGGTGTTGCCAAACCAGGTGTCTCTACATCCCATGAGATCTTAACACCAACATGCCAAGTATCAGGAT